CGCACTAGCCAGGACGGTGTGCCGTTCACAACGGCCTCCTCGGCTCTTGGTGCGAGTTCACGGGCAGGACCACAGATTGCGAGGCTTCCTGGTGCGGGAACTGGGGCCCCGCGGGGGCCCATAGCTCCGCCAGCTCGCTCTGCGGCTTGGGGTACCTGCCTGCGTACCATCCGCCATACACCATCTTATTGCCGGTCACACATACTGCACAGCTCGTCGTGAGCCGAGTTGCCATCAGCATCATGGACCAATCTCATCTGGAGATTGTCTGTTTGCCTGGCAACGGACCCATGAGTGCGGCCTCCAGTGAGCTCTGCCGCAGAGCGGACTCGGGCAAGTCCGCACCTCCCTCGGCGAAACCTTGGGTCCCGTGAATCGTGCTCCCCGCTGACGCCGCCGAACATCACGGTTAGCGCATGGGCAGCGCCAGGGCCGAGCCACCCCTGGTTGACGCCGTTCATCAGCGTCTCTTTTCTGCGCCATTGCTCCTCCGACGGCCGCGCCTGCACCTCCGTCCAGCCGCAGGACATGACTCCCCGTGGCCAGGTGGCCTCCTCAGTTTCGTGCTGCGCCTGAGCCTTGGGAGTGAGGTCGCTGGACTTGATGTAAGCCTCCGATCCCTCGTTCTTGCAGCATGTCCACCCTCGATGGTATGTTGTCCCTCTGCACTCCTTGCACCTCTGGCACAACGGACCGACATGCACATTGGAAGCGTCAGTTGCTCGTCTCTCTCTCTCTCTCTCAAACACGCTCCACCAGCGGCCATGGAAGACGCCCGAACTAATCCGCAGCGTCAACTTGTCCGCGCCATGGGCCAGACCACTCTCACAAAAATGTCAGCCCGCTGTGCTCCCATATGCGGCTGCCCCCGTCTGATCCAGACCAGCACAGGAAATCTGGATGTTCTTGTGCGCTGCGCCATCATGATGCTGATCTTCCGGAAGCCGCCAAGCAACGTCATCTGATAATTGCCAACATGTCGGGGATTCAGTCAACCAACCTCTCCCCATCAGTTTGATGGACTTGGCTGCTATAAGGCCCCCTTGCTTTGCAACCGCGTGACCAATATCGGCCATGCACGATACACGGCCTGTCGGATTAGAAGTTGGGAAGCCGTTGTTTCAACCAGAACTCCAACACCCCATGTGGCAATCTGATACTTGTTTTTGGATGTCCAGCACCGTGATTCAGATGCCGTTGCCTCTTGCGCTGCAAACAGCAGCAATCTATTGCGAGTGTCTTTAGGCACTGCTTTAGCATCAGCCTTTGTCCATGCGTACCGTGAACAGCCTGACCAGAATTGCCCGCTGCATGCGCCCGAGCCTCGCCAGACGCGAGCAACCATGAGACCATGTTGGACGCACGGGCAAAACGAATGATTATGTTATGAAGCCGACGTTGCTTGACGCCTCGCTTGGCGCGAACCTCGCGGGCGACGCGTGGCCCGCCTCCAATGCAATTGCGCTCTCATCTCGTGTCCTTTTCTGGCGAAGGCCCCTCAAAATCTCCTTCGCGTCACCGTGGTGCGAACAAGCAACGCAAGACTCGGCAGCAATCGCAAGGCGAGCCGTTGCCAATTCATCAACCGTGTCAGCCAAAGACATACATTTAGCGAACAGCGTGCCTGACCTCATGCCCTGAATAATATTGCACGTGGCCAAAAAGGGTTGGCTGGCCGCCCCCGTTATTCCACGCTCTGGGCGCCATTCACTGGGAAAGTGCAACCAAAATGAAGATGAGCAAAACGCTGAGCCGCAGCAAGACATCGATCAGGACGTCCCCCTCGATGGCAGCATAGAAGCCCTGTATATCCATGAGACCATGTCCGCATGGTGTGCCAAGAGTTTGCGACTTCCTCCCGCAGAGTGCGAGTGGGCACCTCCCTCAAGGAGGCGTCGCCGCAGATGGCGGCGCCCTGGTCATTCTCGATACGGGAGCACCACTCGCGGATGCATCTTTCACGGATGAGCGACCACAGCTTGCCACGGAAAGACGCGAGCCCGATCATGCGGTCGCCCCCCCGGTTTCTTCGGCAAATGTTTGCCGATGATGAGTTGGGTCTGCAGAGGCCCAGTCAGCGCGTGTTCGATCATGTTGATCAAGTCAACCAGCTCCTGCAGCGCGCTGCACGGCAGCCGCTCCACACCGATCAGCGTCATCCGATTAGTTCCTAGGCCAGCGGCGGTCTTCACCGCGTGAGCTGCAGCTCGGGTGCCCTCGGCAGGCATTGGGTCCAGCGGCTCCGACCTCGCTGCCTCCCACACAGCTGCAAAGGCACGCCCCATCTCATCCTCATCGAGCGGATGCGGAGCCCACTTCCGCTGCCGCATTCCCCCCTTGCCGTCGATGACATCCTTGGGGACGCACCACTGCCGCGGCAGCCTCCAGTACCTTCGGCAACGGCAGCGGCTCCTCCTTCATGCTCCTGCGTAGGCCCCCCCCATCAGCAGACTGCTGCGTGACCCATCCCTGAAACTTTTGGTGATGGCTTATGCATGGCCCGCCGCCGCCCTCGGCGAGCAAGCCTGGCCGCCTGCTCCAGCAACTTCTGGGAATGCCAACGTCTTCAGAGATTGAGCACCGCCGCAGTTCACAGCCGATCGCCAGCGCCTAACCCTGGTCTCAACAAAAGATGCACCCCTGTTGGCCGCTCTTGCACCCGATGACGGCACGCCGACTGGATGGCCACCAGTGCCTTCTCCCCATGTTGCTTTTCACGACGTCGGGCTGATTGGCGGCGAAGCGCGGCAACCCTCTTGCTCCAACGGGCCACGTGGTCCCGCAGCGGAGCTGCGCGGCCCTTAGCAGATTGGTGAACCTCCTCGACTATGAACCTGCAACAGCTCCCGCGGCTGGGACCAGCTGGCATAGGGACGCAATGGTGAGAACAAATAGCCTTCCCAACTCCGCGAACCCACGTATAATACAATGTACTCACAGGAGGACACGCTTGGGATTGAGTATGGAGGCTACGAAGGAGCGGAAGGAAAAGGAGAGGGAAGACACAGAACTTTCATGCATCCTAATTGAATTTCGGCTTCGCCACTCACACTCTCCTGGCACTTGGAATGCAGGCTCAACCGACAAGGACGGGTCTTCCACTTGCAGCTGCGTCTTCAAGAAAATGGTCTCGCCGCCCTCGTTGGCCCTGTCTTCGGAGGCCGCGGGGCGGTGCTTGCCAGATGACCTGGCTGGGTTGGCTATCATGCGGTGGCCCTTCTCACGAGCAATCTCGCCCCACTTGCGTAAATACGATTCGTCAAGTGAGTCTATACGCACACTAGGTACTTATGAGCAGAACGATGGTGTGAAAGATGCGTCCATGCCTGGTCCCCCCTGGTGGTGACACTGCTAAAACATTGAGGCCGTCCTGGTATCCTCGATATCGTGAGCCTCGTCCCCCTTTGACAACGCTGGCGCCTGGTTGCCGGCCGCGCGATCGGCCTCCGAGCCAGGCGTTGGCCGTCGAGCAGCGGCGGCATCCCCTGCCAGCCGCGCCCTTCGCAGCTGCAGCACCCGCGAGCTCGGCCGCTGAGATCTTGGCCGCCTCCTCCTTGAGCGTGGCATCGCGCGCCTCCTTCTCCTCTGGAGCTGCCGCAGGCTCTGGCCCGACACCCCCCTGACCTTCTCCAGCAGATCGAGCGGAGCCACCACCGCCGCCAGGTTGCGACGCTGCCTCGGGCGGCTCCTTAGCGGAAGCCTGTGCCCCTCATTGCGTCCTTCTCGTCTTGATGGCCGTCCTCTTGTCGATGTCGACGGGCACCTGGCCCGTCTTGGACAGCCGCTCCTAGACTTGCTTGAACTTCTCCGAGAAGGCGGACTTCAGGCGCCAAAGCTCGCAGTGGATGCGCTTCGGCTCTACCTTGCCGCCTTCCTGTTCGAGGCCCTCCGCGTCCACGAACAGAGTCTCGTCCCAGCGCGCCTAGAATGGCTGGTCCGCTGGCATCTCTGCCTTGGGAGCCTTCTGGGCCGTGACTCCCTCGGCCCTCGCCAGGCTCTGGACGACTCCTCGCATGGCGAGCTCATCAGAGGCGAGAACCACCGCTGCGGCTGCCTCCTTCTGCTCCGCCGCCGTCGTGCTTGTGACTGGCGTCGCGGAAAGTCGCATCTGCTTGCTGCAGCGTTGCCACCGTTGGCTTCTGCTCGGGTGGCGACGCCACGTTCGCGAGCTCTTCGCCTCGCGTCTTGAGGAACTTCAGCTGCTCACTCTGCGTTGACTTCATGGCCTCCATACATTGGCCCACGACAGCCACTGACTTCACCCACGGCGGTTTGGACGACTGCCAATGAGTACAGCTGCCTCTCTCCTCCAATTCCTCGAACGTGTCATCCACCAGCTCAGCGACAGTGACTTGCTTGGCGTTGGAGTCCTTCCTGAACTTGTGCTTGAACACCTTCACCTGCTTGCCGCACGATCCGCAGGAATTGGGACCTGCTCAGTGTGTCGTTCCACTCGCACAGCTGACAGCTGGCACAGCGACTCCACAGGCACGAAGCACGGGGAGCCATGTCGCGAGGCTAGTGATTCAGAACTCTTGCCTTGGTCGCCCGCGTACGTACCCAGATGGGGTGGACTCGGAGTGCCTCAAGCGCCACGTGCAGGCACAAGAGTCAGCCCATACACTGCCTGAGGCTAAATGGCTTAGGAGGAGGAGGAGAAGGAGGAGGAGGAGGAGGAGGAGGAGGAGGAGGGGGAGAAGGAGGAGGAGGAAGAGGAGGAGAATGAGGAGGAGGAGGAGGAGGAGGAGGAGGAGGAGGAGGAGGAGGAGTGGGACGGTGGGGCGCCCAGGAGGCGCGCGCGGGGGGTGCGAGCGGAGCCCGAGTCCGAGTCCGAGCCCACGCTCGAGCCAGAGCCCGAGCCCGGGCCCGAGCTGGAACACGAGCCCGAGCCAAAGCCCGAGCCCGAGCCCGAGCCCGAGTCCGAACCCCTGCCTGCTCCCTGGGGTGGCAGGAGCCCCGCGCGCGCGCGGAAGCATGGACCCCTCGCGCGGCCGTCGCAGGCACGAGGACCCAGTGCTCACCTGCTCGCTGCTCGAGGCCTGGGACGGCGGCTGCGGCGACGGTGGCGGCGACGGCGACGACGGTTGCGGCGGCGGCGGCGGCGGCTGCGTTGGCGGCGGCGGCGGCGGCGGTGGCGGCGGCGGCGGTGACGGCGACGGCGTTGGCGACGACGACGGCGGCGGCGTCGGCGGCGACGGTGGCGACGACGGCGACGACGACGTCGACTACGACGGCGACGGCGGCAGCGGCGACTGCGGCGGTGACGCTTGACGGCGGCGGCGGCGGCGGCGGCGGCGGCGACGACCTCGACGACGGCGACGGCTATGGTGACGGCGGTGGCGGCGACGCCGACGACGATGACCTCGACGACCCCAAAGAAGGGGGGCGGCAGCAGCAACAGCGCCCGATCCATTGCAGGACGAGCCAAACCGAGGGTTACGATGATCAGCTCTTTCTTCTGGTGCTCGAGCCTTCGCGGCACCAGGACGCTCGTCAAGAGCCCGAGGAAAAAGGGTTGCGGTCGCAGCGTGCGCTGTGCTCTCTGCAGGCTGCCGCTCACGTGCCAGACTCTTTCAACCTGCAAAAACGTCCGCCCCGACCCGCCCCTCTGGCGTCCGCTCCGTCGTCCAACGAGCCAGCCCGCTCTCACCGTTTGCTATCCAGCCTGCCGCCGCCGGCCCGCTTCGGCTCGGCGAGGGGCCCGACCAGCCCAGCTCGCTCCGCTCGGCGAGCTTGCGCGTCTGCGCCGCTCGCGCGTGCGGCACTTCGACTGGCAGGCAGGCTCTGGCCGATTCTCCGCCCTTGGCCTGGGCCGCGAGAGCGTCCCTCGGGGGGGGTGACAGGGCCAAGAGGCACTTGGTGAGGGAGGGAAGGGGCGGAGGCAAGGAAGAGTGGATAGGGTGGGGCAGAAGAAGGGGGAGGTCAGAGGAAGAGGAGGTCAGCGAGACGCAGGAGAACGCAGGAGGACGGGGGAGGATAAGGATGAGGAGAATGAGGATGAGGACAGAGGAGGGGGATAACGAGGCGGGGTGGAGGAGGAGTTGGCAGGGGAGGAGGCGGAGTAGGAGAAGCAGGAGGAGGAGGACAACATGAGGAGGAGGGGGAGCAGTGCGGGAGCGGATGGAGGATGAGGGAGAAGGGAAGGATGGTTGAAAGGGGGAGAAGGTCAAGCCAGGTTCGCTCGCGTCATGTCTGACTTCATACCCCTTCCCTTCCATCCCTTCTCGTGCGGAGAACTCCTCTCGATCAGCATAGCGGGATGCTGAAGAGGACAAGGATCCCCAAATGGTGCGCGATACATAGCATGGCGTAGCGTATGGTGCAAATATGCGTAGCGTAGCGTATGGTGGCGTAGCGTAGCATGTATGCATGCCATCCCCAAGAGGACAAGGATCTCCATATGGTGCAGTCAAGCATTGCATATGATAGCACTTGCAGCGCGAGCCATAGCGTCGCATATCGGCAAATAGCTTGTTGTACCATCGTATGGCATGCCAATTCATTGCATTGCACTGCGAAGCCCAGCGTTGCATGGAACAACATTGATTAGTCAGGCACGCAATCGCTTCAGTGCAGCACATAGCATAGCATTGCATTGCATACCATTGTTGCACGAACGGTGCCTCCGGAAAACCATGCTGGATGACCGACTACTTGGAGATGAGACCGGTGTTGCAGCGGGAGTGCCACTTGGAAGGGCCGAGAACACGGAGCGGGAGCACCATCCGGACAGACAGAAAATGCGGAAATGAGACCAACTTTGCAGCGGGAGCACCATTCGGAAGGACCGAAAACGCGGAAATGAGGCCATCGTTGAAGACACATAAGCGTTGACATGAGGCCAGCACTGCAGCGGGAACACCATGTTGCCGGACAGCTAACGATCGGATGTAATGAACAAGTAAGGAAGACCAATTCGCCCACATCTTTTGTCGAGAAAAATACGATGAGAGGGGGGTTGGATACTCTGAGCACGTATTCGAGGGAGAGAGGAAAGTAGTAGTACTCGTCATGTTGTGTAATTGTGGAAGGGGAGAGGGCGGAGGAATATGAGAGGGTGGGGAGGAGGGCGGAGGGAGGTATAAAGGGCGGATCCCGTTCTTAGGAGGGAGGGAGGGTGCAGGAGGAGGAGGGGGAGGAGGAGCAGGAGGAGGAGGAGGAGGAGGAGGAGGAGGACCACGAGAATCACGAGTACGAACGCCACCAGCCGCACCCCTGCGCCCAGCACATCGGAGAGTAATTCGAGCGAGAACAGCACCACGAGTATGACAAGTACGGTGGATACCAGCAGCACCACTACGCCCAGCACGACGGATAGCAGTACGACCGAGAGCAGCACCACGAGCATGACGAGTGTGATCGCTACCAGCAGCACCACTCCGCCCAGCACGTCGGCAAGCAGTACGACCGAGAGCAGCACCACGAGGGTGACGAGCACGACCGGTACCAGCAGCACCACTACGCACAGCACGTCGGCGAGCCGTACGACCGAAAGCAGCGTCGCGAGTATGATCAGCACGATAGGTACCAGAAGCAACGCTACGCCCAGCGCGTTGGGGAGCAGCACGAGCAGGAGCAGCACCACGAGTGTGACGAGCACGACCCGTACCACCAGCACCACCACGCACAGCACGTCGGCGAACAGTGCGACCGAAAGCAGCACCACGAGTGTGACGAGCACAACCCGTACAAGCAGCGCCACTACGCCCAGCACGTCGGCGAGCAGTACGACCGAGAGCAGCACCACGAGGGTGACGAGCACAATCGAGACCAGCAGCACCACTACGCCCAGCGCGTCGGCGAACAGTACGACCGAGAGCAGCACCACGAGGGTGACGAGCACGACCGGTACCAGCAGCACCACTACGCCCAGCACGTCGGCAAGCAGTACGACCGAGTGCAGCACCACGAGTGTGACGAGCACGACAGGCACCAGCAACACCACCACGCCCAGCGCGTCGGAGAGTAATTCGAGCGAGAGCAGCACCACGACGGTGCCGAGCGCGACCGAGACCAGCAGCACCACTACGCCCAGCACGTCGGCGAGCAGTACGACCGAGAGCAGCGCCGCGAGTATGATCAGCACGACCGACACCAGCAGCACCACTACACCCAGCGCGTCGGCGAGCAGTACGACCGAGAGCAGCAGCGCCACTACGTCCAACGGGTCGGTCAGCAGTGTGACCGGAAGCAGCACCACGATTGGGACGAGCACGACCGGCACCAGCAGCACCACTACGCCCAGCACGTCGGCGAGCAGTACGACCGAGAGCAGCACCACGAGTGTGACGAGCGCGACCGGTACCAGCAGCACTGCCAACCCAGCGGGTCGGCGAGTAGTACGACCGAGATCAGCACCGCGAGTGGGACGAGCACGACCGAGACCAGCAGCACCACTACGCCCAGCACGTCGGGGAGCAGTACAACCGAAAGCAGTGCCGCGAGTGGGACGAGCACGACCGGCACCAGCAATACCACTACGCCCAGCACGTCGGCGAGCAGTACGACCGAGTGCAGCACCACGAGTGTGACGAGCACGACAGGCACCAGCAACACCACCACGCCCAGCGCGTCGGCGAGCAGTACGACCGAAAGCAGCACCATGACTGTGACGAGCACGACCCCTACCAGCAGCACCACTAAGCCCAGCACGTCGGCGAGCAGTACGACCGAAAGCAGCAAAGCGAGAGTGACGAGCACGATCGAGAGCAGCAGCGCCACTACGCCCAGCAAGTCGGCGAGCAGAGCCACCGCCAGCAGCATCACGTTCGGGACGAGCACAATCAGTACCAGCATTACCGCAACGCCCAGCGCGTCGGCGAGCAGTACGACCAAAAGCAGCACCACGAGTGGGACAAGCACAACCGGCACCAGCAATACCACTACGCCCAGCACGTCGGCGAGCAGTACGACCAAAAGCAGCACCACGAATGGGACGAGCACGACCGAGACCAGCAGCACCACTACGCCCAGCACGTCGGGGAGCAGTACGACCGAGAGCAGCACCACGACTGTGACGAGCACGACCCCTACCAGCAGCACCGCCACGCCCAGCACGTCGGCGAGCAGTACGACCGAGAGCAGCAAAGCGAGTGTGACGAGCACGACCGAGAGCAGCAGCGCCACTACGCCTAGCACGTCGGCGAGCGGTACGACCGAGAGCACCTCCGCGAGTGTGACGGGCACGACCGAGACCAGCAGCATCACTGCGCCCAGCACGTCGGCGAGCAGAACCACCGATACCAGCAGCACCGCAACGCCCAGCGCGTCGGCGAGCAGTACGACCAAAAGCAGCACCACGAGTGGGACGAGCACGACCGAGACCAGCAGCATCACACTCGGCGAGCGCCCAGCACGTCGGCGGAGCAGTACGAGCCGAGAGACCAGCACCACTACGCCCAGCACGTCGGGGAGCAGTACGACCGAGAGCAGCACCACTACGCCCAGCACGTCGGCGAGCAGTACGACCAAAAGCAGCACCACGAGTGGGACGAGCACGACCGAGACCAGCAGCACCACTACGCCCAGCACGTCGGGGAGCAGTACGACCGAGAGCAGCACCACTACGCCCAGCACGTCGGCGAGCAGTACGACCAAAAGCAGCACCACGAGTGGGACGAGCACGACCGAGACCAGCAGCACCACTACGCCCAGCACGTCGGGGAGCAGTACGACCGAGAGCAGCACCACTACGCCCAGCACGTCGGCGAGCAGTACGACCAAAAGCAGCACCACGAGTGGGACGAGCACGACCGAGACCAGCAGCACCACTACGCCCAGCACGTCGGGGAGCAGTACGACCAAAATCAGCACCACTACGCCCAGCACGTCGGGGAGCAGTACGACCGAGAGCAGCACCACGAGGGGGACGAGTACGACCGAGACCAGCAGCAACACTACGCCCAGCACGTCGGCGAGCAGTACGACCAAAAGCAGCACCACGAGTGGGACGAACACGACCGCTACCAGTAGCGCCACGACGCCTGGCACGTTTACGAGCAGTACGGCCGAGGGCAGCACCGCGAGTGTGACGAGCGCGACCGGTACCAGTAGCGCCAATACGCCCAGCACGTCGGCGAGCGGTACGGCCGAGAGCAGCGCCACGAGGGTGACGAGCACGACCGAGACCAGCAGCGCCACTACGCCCAGCACGTCGGCGAGCAGTACGACCGAGAGCAGCACCACGTGGGTGCCGAGCACGACCGAGACCAGCAGCGCCACTACGTCCAACGGACCGGTCAGCAGTACGACCGAGAGCAGCACCACGAGGGTGACGAGCACGAGCAGCACCAGCAGCACCACTACGCCCAGCACGTCGGCGAGCAGTACGACTGAGAGCAGCACCACGAGTGTGACGAGCGCGACCGGTACCATCAGCGCTGCCACACCCAGCGCGTCGGCGAGTAGTACGACCGAGAGCTTCACCGCGAGTGGGACGAGCACGACCGAGACCAGCAGCACCACTGCGCCCAGCACGTCGGCGAGCAGTACGACCGAAAGCAGCGCCACGGGGGTGACGAGCACAACCGAGACTAGCAACACCACTACGCCCAGCACGTCGGCGAGCAGTACGACCGAGAGCAGCACTGCGAGGGGGACGAGTGCGACCGAGACCAGCAGCAACACTACGCCTAGCATGTCGGCGAGCAGTACGTTTGAGAGCATTTCCGCGAGTGGGACGAGCACAACCAGCACCAGCAATACCACTCCGCCCAGCACGTCGGCGAGCTCCACGTCTCTATTCAGCACGTTCTTGCCCGCCTGGGCGAACCCCCTCCCGCCGGCCCCAAGAGGCCACGCCACGTCCACAGTGGAGCTGTACTTTCTGCACCACCTCCAGTCTTGCGCAAGATCCGCCAGCGGCGCGACCGGCACGAGCAGTGAGAACGGGGGGCCGCCTGGTCTGGGCGCCGCCAATCCCTTCTCCTGGACGCCCCGCCTCATCGATAGGGCCCTCCTTGGGACATTCCTCGCCACGCGGCTGACGTCAACCGCCATGCTTTGGGGCCTCTTCCAAGTGCTCCGCCCCGAGGCTGCCGTCACGGTGCTGCTCACCACCGTGGGGCATGTACTCACGGCTGGCCGCGTGCCCATCGCGTTCCTGATCGCCGCAACTTTGGGCTTCCCAGTGCCCGTTATGGCCTTCAGTGCCCTGCGGATGGGTGGCGGGCGAATGCTGTACGGGTTGGGGGCCCTGGCGGCCATCCTTCGGGGCGCCCACACCACGCTAGGGGTCTGCCGTCTCCTCAGCGTCACGGTCGCCGCCGCAGGATGCCCCAGCATGGGGCCAGAGGCCTGCCTACCAGTCTTGGCCGCAGCCTGTTGGCCTGCCTTCCCCGAGGCGGCCGGGGCGCCCGCGCCTCCGCGGCCGCGTGCTGAACCCAGACCGCTCGCCCAGGGGGCCAACGTGGCTAAATGGCACATTGACGCAAAGCGCACCCGTGCCTTTTGTACTTGCTTCGCCTCCTCGTGCAAGGGCCCCATCACCAGAGGGGATCTGCGCGTCCGCAGCGCCGCCAACACAGTAAATCCGCGGTGGTACCACGCCAGCTGCGTTAAAGGTGGCTTGGGGCCCCAGGGTGACCTCGAAGGCTTCGTCGACCTCCAGCAGGAGGACCAGGCCAAGGCCCAGAAATTCTGTGACCACCCAGGCGGAGTCTCGAGGGCGCAGTACGTAGAGACAGTCCGACGGACCAAACGGCAACGGCGAGGGGCCGCAGACCCAGGAGACCCCATCCCCTCTGAGGAAGTCCCCATGGAGCGCTTCGACGAGTTGCCGGAGGCCGAAAGCCCCGCGAATGGCGACGACCGACGCCTGGGAGAGGAGCTGCGGAACATGGCGTGGTGGGACACGGTGGACTACGAGGAGCTGGAGAATTGGATCCCTACTCTGGGGCGCACACCCCGGGACGTACACCACGGCTTGGCACTATTCCGGGGGGCGGTGTGTCGGGACATCCGCCGTGCGCGGGAAACGGGTGACGCCGTGGCGGAAAGCAGAGCTTGCAAGCTCCTTGCCTTCGTGGACCGGCTGGTGCTGACTGCCACGCGGGGGGCAAGAGGGGGTCGAAAACACACGGGCACGCTGTCCTCTACAATCACCGCCCGGCTCCGGCTGGCCTGGAAGGGCGACCGGGGCAGTCTCTGGCGAGGCGCGGCGGCGACTGCGCAAGACAGCCCGCGCGCGGCAGCCCAGGGGAGAATCCCAGCAGAGGACGCCCGCTCAGTCAGTTCGCTGGTGCGGGACGGGCTGTTGAGTAACCTCGCCGCGGTGGCAGAGCAGATTTGCTTCTGATTTTTTTGGTTTTTCGGTTTTCACATTGCAAATGTGGCGCGCGCCTGGTGTCCAGAAGGTGCGCTGGGGGCGACCGAAACAACGCCCGGAAGAGCGCCTGGGAGCGCGCTGAGGCGAGCGCCCGGGCGAGCCAAGAAGAGTGCCGAGAACAGCGCCCAGGAAAGCGCCATCAAGAGTGCCCAGATTATGGCCCAGACGCGAATCTGGAAGAGCGCCCGGAAGTGCGCCCAGCAGCGACCGATTTTGCGACCGATTTCGCTTCCGATTTCGCGTCCGATTTGTTGTGTGTCGATTCAATACTAAAACAAATCAGACGCAAATCTGATTTAAAATCGGTCAAAAACCGGACGCAAATCGGATGCAAAATCGGACGCAAATCGGACGCAAAATCGGATGCAAAATCGGGAGCAAAATCGGACGCTGATGGCGTCGACCATTTCTGGGCGGATGAGGCAGCATATCGCGGTGCATCATGGCGAGGTCTGGTAGGGTGTGTATTGCGGACCCATGCGCGCAATTCAGCGTTGGAGTTTTAGCGATGTGGCGAACGACAAACTGCGATATCGCGTTGTGTCCAGGTCGGGCCAAATCGACAGAAAAATCAGATCGCCGCTTCTGCGGCCGTTTTTCATGTGATGTTGAGCAAGGCGCTGGCTGTGGTGCTCCGCCAGAGTGCAGCGCTGGTGGGCCCAGAGGTTCCCGCCGGGCGCTTTGCCGGAGGGCCTGCCCTCCCCCCCTCCTATGGCGCCAGAGACCCGGGCGGACCTGGTGGACGCCGTGCGCCGGAACCTGAAACGCTACCCGGCGCGCTCTGGGCCGGGCCCCAACGGGTCCCGTTTTGAGCACTGGGCCACTGCCGCAGCCGACAGCGAGGCGACCGACCACGTCAGCCAGGTGGCGGTCATGTTCCTGCTCGGGGAGTGCCCTGCTGATTTTCTCAAAGCGAACTTGGGAGCTCGCCTCATGGCCCTGCGAAAGCCCAGCGGCAAAGTCCGGCCCGTGGCGTGCGGGTCTGTGCTGCGGCGCATTGCTGCGAGGGCTGCGTGCCACGTCTTCCGGGAACAGTTGATGCACGTCTGTGGACCGCACGGTCCAGTACGCGGTGGGACGACGAGCCGGGTGCGAAAAAGTCCACAAAGCCGCTACGGCAATGACGGCGGCATCGCCCGCAGCCTTGGCGTTGACGTTCGACGCCGCCAACGCGTTCAATACTATGCCGCGCCAGAGAATCCTTGCGGGGGTCGCGGCGCGGATGCCCGACCTGCACCAGGCGGCGGCCGTGTGGCTGGGCACGGGGACCACGCACTTCTGGCGGGGGGCCAGCGAAAGGCCAAAGCGGTGAGAGCCAGGAAGGGGGTCGACCAGGGATGCCCGCTCTCGCCCGCGCGTTGTCCAACATCGACGCTCGCCTGCGGGCCGCGGCGCCGACTTTCCGGGTCTTCTCCTACTTGGACGTCGTGATCGCGGTGGTGCCCGCGGCGCTCGGGGAGGCAGCGGCGCAGACAGTGGTCGAGGAGTTGACGCAAGCAGGACTCGCCATCAACGAAGGCAAAACAGCGGCGTGGACCCGAGACCCAGGACGCCACTTTCGCCGCTGCTCGAAACTTTGCGGACACCAACTCTCCGCTGCCTGGGGGCCACCGCGCCCTGGGTGGAACTGGAAGACCCTCTGGCGAGGCTCGCAGTCCACGGGCAGGCTGACGGCGACGAGGCCGCGCGGGCCGCAGAGCGATTGGCCGCCCGACTCCAGGAACTGCAGGGCGCGGGACTCGGGGCGAGGGAGAGCTTCTGGCTGCTCCGAACCTACAGCAACGGCTGCGCCACGCACCTGCTGCGCGCAAACTACGAGGACGGGGACTGGCTCACCAGGCTCGACAGGACACTCACACAGTTTGTTGAGGACTTCCTCGGCGACGCCCTCGACGACGACTTGCGGGCGCAATGCTTCCTCCGGTTGGCCGACGGGGGCCTCGGGCTTGCTTCGGCCGCGCAGGCGGCGGCGCAGCCTACCTGGGCAGCTGGGCACTAATCTTCCATAGCGTGGGCGCCTGCCTGGATGAGCCCTCCTGGGCGCGGTTCCAGGAGCGCTGACCCTTGGTGGCCGAGGCCATGGCGAGGGCAGAGGCCCGGCTACAGGCGCAGAGCGGGGGATCTCTCCAGGCCGTCGATTGGACTGGCTGCATGGGCGAACCACTGGAGGGGATGCAGGGGAAGTGGGCGGGCGACCTTCGCAGCAAGGAACGAGAGCGGCTGCAGGCCTCCCTGGGAGCAGACGACAGGGTTGACTTCCGCTCGTCTGGCGGCCCTGGCGCAGGTGGGTACTTGGAGCCGCCCGTCGTCCGAGACGGAGAGACACCTGCTCAAATGCCGGACGAGCACTTCCGGGTCGCCCTCAAGGACAAGCTGCGCCTGCCGGCATGCCTGCCGGGCGCAACCTGCAAGCTCCGCAAAGCCGACGGGGCGCTGTGTGGGCAGGCGCTTGACCGACGCGGGCGCCACGCCCTAAAGTGCCCGTGTGGCCCCAACCGCAACAACAAACACAACCGCCTCCGGGACTTCTGCGCAGGCTACCACCAGCGGACCACAGGGCACGCAGCGCAGACGGAGCAACGGGTTGTTGCTTGGGACAGGGTGAGCCCGCGGACAGGGCGCCTCGAAGAAGCGCGGCTCGACGTCGCCACCCGCGACGCAGTGACCGGCCAGACGGTGTCCTTGGACACGAGCGTGACCTGCGCACACAGCGGCACCGCGCCGCGCCAGCAGGCCCGCCCCAACAATAACGGCCTTGCCGCCACTAGCGCCGAGGACGCCAAGCGGGGGCGCTACCCGCCCGAAGGGGGCCAGCTCATCCCTGTGGTCTTCGAAACAGGGGGCCGCCCGGGTGACGCCACCGTGGCGTGCGTCCGCTCCTGGGGCCACGACATGGCCCCCGCGGAGCGGACAGAGGTCATCCGCTATGGCTGGCAACAACTGAGCACGCGGCTGCACTTCGGAAGCGCCGAGGCCATCTTGGCGGCTGTGGGGCGGTGAGCGCGCTGCCGCCAGCTCCTCTACCGCCGGCGCGCAACCACCCCGTCCGCCACCAGCGGTGCGACCACATCCACCCCCAGCATGACAGCCCTTGCCGCCACCGTTTGCACCACGACGACGACGACCCTAGGCACGACAACCGCCACGACCAGCGCCTCGGCCACGACCAGGACCGGCACGACAACCGGCGCGACCACCGCCGACAGGCACCGTCACCACGACCTCCAACAGCACGGCAGCGCCGTGACCATGGCGACCACCGCCGAACCGACCGCCAACGCCCCCGACTGGCCCTCCTCTCTCCTGTCCCCGCCCCTGCCGGGCCGCCCCTGCTGCCCCGCGGGCCTTGCGCCCCCCCCCCCCGTCCTCCTCCTCCTCCTCCTCCTCCTCCTCCTCCTCCTCCTCCTCCTCCTCCTCCTCCCCCCGCCTGACAGGTGAATGGTAAATTCGGATTTTGCAACGCCCCAAAGTGGCTTCGGTTTAGTGCATGGCCGCCCCCTGAGGGTTGGTGGTGGCGCCACACCCGCGACCAGCGGAGGAGGAGGGAGGAGGGGCAGGAGGAGGAGGAGGAGGAGGAGGAGGAGGAGGAGGAGGAGGAGGAGGAGGAGGGGGAGGAGGAGGAGGAGGAGGAGGAGGAGGAGGAGGAAAAGGAGGAGGAGGAGGAGGAGGAGGAGGAGGAGGAGGAGGAGGAGGGCGAAACAGTAGCAGCGGAGGCTCGCAGCAAGCAGTTGGCGAGCCTGGCGGACACGGTCTACAACGGCGCCCCCGCGCCTGCCGCGGCGCCCAAGGAGACCCCCGCGACCGCGACGGCGGCGCCGCCAGACAGCCAGGCCGCACCGTCCTCGTTTTGTCCCTTGCCCTCCTGTGGAGGTGGATCCTCGCTCTCTCCCATCGTGGCCTCCCAAACGGGGTCCGTGTACACGGGGTCAGTGGGTCGCCTCGCATCGTTGATGCATCGGCGAAGCGGCTCGATGTGTATTTCCCCCCGCGCCGATGCGTCCCCGACGTCGCGGATGCATCACCGATGCATCGGTAATGCGTCGCGATCCTCAGAAATCATCTATTCGGACCCCATTTGGGAGCGGCGAGCATCGAGGAACGTGCAATGACATAAGCATATCTTCCGACGGTCCGCGCGGATGTCCCGGATCTGCGCTGGGCCCCTTCGGCGGCACTTCCTGCGCCGGCCCCGGCGTGCTCCGCGCGCAGGGGAGGGGGAGTCAGCACCGATCCGAGAGATCAGCGCGGACCTTCGAAAGCAAACGGTGATCGACTTTGGCTCTTCGAGAGTGCGTCCATAACCACAACCTGGCGCCCTGGATCTTGGGGCACGATCCCGTGAATAAGTACGCGGTCGCACGGGTATACGTTCCGCGCGGGGCAATCCGCGAATAAAAGGTCCCGTGCCCACGGGGGCCCACCACCCCGGCTCGCAAGGCCGTGGATACGGAGACGTTCCCGGCCAGCGTTTCCTTCTGTTGCGCCGCGCGTCTCCCTCCCTCCCTCCCCCCTCCCTCCCCCCTCCCTCCTCCAGCCTCCCCTCCCGCCCTCCTCCCGTCGTTCCCCCTCCTCTCGTCCTCCTCCTCCTCCTCTGCCTTCTCTCCTCCCTCCTCCTCCTCCTCCTCTTCCTCCTCCTCCTCCTCCTCTCCTCCTCCTCCTCCTCCTCCTCCTCCTCCTCCTCCTCCTCCTCCTCCTCCCATCCTCCTCCTCCTCCTCCTCCTCCTCCCCCCTGCCTCCACTCGGCGTTGGAGCTCAGGCACTTTGAGCCGCGACGGAGCGAGGACTTTCACTGACACTCGCTTACACGACTTCCGCCCCATACATTCCCCATTCCCGGGCCAGAGAGGGAGCACGGGGGAGGAGGAAAGGAGAGAAAAAACAAAACAATCCCTGCAGCCATTCCGATACCGTACCTGTTGCGAACTCCTTTCGCGTGACAGGGTCGTAATTTGGTGATGGAGTTCTCTTGTGCCGCAACTTTCCAAATTTCTATGGAGGTTTGGAGTGTGACCTTGGAAAAAAAACGACGAGCCAAAGACGCAGACAACGGATCGGCCGTACCCACGCTCGGAGAAGCCGGCTTGCCAGGATTGCCATGTGCGAACAATTGGCTGATCAAGTGCCGCCGCTGGACAGCAGCTGCCAGAGGGAAGATGGAGGCCCTGGGGTTCCGAGGCGACAGGAGGGTGCCAATGAAAAGCTTCGAAAACCCATAAACGGTTCAGAACTTGGGGGACAGCTGCACCAGGAGACTCAAGCAAATGAGGCGCCAAAGCAGCATATAACGGTTCTGTTTGGAATATATGGAAGTGAAGATCAAAGATCAATCGCGCCAGCGGAACCCTACTGGTCCAGCTCTGCGTTCATTGGCCCGTCGGTGAAATAAATTGGACGACGAAAGCCAGAGGGAAGATGGAGGCCCCGAAGTTCGGAGGCCATTGGCCTCCGCCAGTGATGAACCTCGAAAGCCGATGTCCACTCTGTCGGAAGACAACGTTCTGAGGCTGGAGAGGCGTGGCCACCTGCTCCCCCCTGAAGGGGACCGCTGCCCTCGAGTCGCCTCCGGAGGCGCCGAGTCGGAGCACTGCAGCGCCAGACGCGCAGGAGAGCCTCGTGGCCGCGGCGCAGACGAAAGCAGGCGACAGAGGAAGAAAATGGAGACCCCGAGGCTCGGAGGTCAGTGGCTTCTGCCGATGATGAGCCTCGAAAGCCCATGTGGAATCCTTTGGGCCTGCGGCCGGATCCAGGAGAAGGCAGGCTGTTCGACTAAGTAAAGGACACACCAATATTTGAGGCAGAGGGACTCTCTCAGAGACAACGGATGGACTCGCGCGGAGAGTTGGACGAGGGGGAGGAGGTTTACCTCAACGAGAAGCGTAAATAACACATCTTGGAAAGCATATATCACATTACGTGGAACAGTGTCGACCATTTTTTTCTGCGGAATACATACGGCACAAATTTGTTTCCAGCGGCACAGTTCGCACTCTGCCAGAAGTGGAATTCGCTCTTTCGGTTTGGGACAGGATTGGAGTTCTTGCCAGCATAGGAGACAAGTGCACAACTTTTTCAGAATGGGAAAGCACCGAGGATCAACTGAGCGCGTTCGGCGCGGAGGAGAATATTGAATCAGCTTCGAAGGGAGAGTCGCACGCACTAGCGAGGGCATCTCGGAATGCAGGCCTTTTCGCCGAGTGTTTCCCCCCTTCTCGTCTCTTAGTCAATCGTCCTCGGTCCGCTTCTCCGCGCGGGGATGTCGTGCAAATGTTTTGCACGCGCCGCATGCATCCCCAGATTTGCACTATCGCAAAGGATTAAAAGAGCATAGGTTGTGCATCTCTGAGCGCGCTTGGCGCGGGAAGCATCTGTCTCGGCGCAGTAAGAGCTGAGCGCACCGACGAGGGCATCTCGGAGTGCAGGTTGGCTCACAACTTAAAGAGGGTTCAGGGAAACCCCATATCGGGAACCCTGTTCGCCAGCGCGCCCCCCAGAGCGGGCACGCGAACAGGCCAGCAGCTGTCCCCCTCGCACTGGCCCGTCGGGACTCGTTTTGACCAGCGAGCCTCTCTGACGGGGCTTGCTTCGGCGCTCGCCCCCTTAGAGCCTGGGGTACGCCACTGCCCTCATGCGAAGTATGGGCGTGGGCACAGTAACCATCGCAGGGGATTTCTGCAAGTCGTACCCCATGGCTCCTTCACGGGCGATTCGACGTAGAGCCCCTCATGCGGATGTCCTGTCCAGTCTTGTCCTGTCCCCCCTCCCTCTTTTCACCTATCCTCCTCTTCATCCCGTCCTCCTCGTCGTCCTCCGCCCCTCCTCCTCCCCTCCTTCCCCGTCTTCCTCCCTCCTCCCTCTCGCCCTCCCTCCCCTTCCTCCTCCTGTCCACATTCCGTCTCCTCCTCCTCCTCTTCCTCCTCCTCTTCCTCCTCCAACTGCTCCGACGACGACTACTACGACTACGACTATTGCTACTGCTACTACTACTACTACTACTACTACCACTACTACTTAACTACTACTACTACTACTACTACTACTACTACTACTACTACTACTACTACTACTACTACTACTACTGCTACTACTACTACTACTACTACTACTAACCACTACTACTACTACTACTACTACTACTACTACTACTACTACTACTACTACTACTACTACTACTACTACTACGACTACTACTACTACTACTGCTGCTACTACTACTACTACTACTACTACGCTACTACTACTACTACTACTACTACTACTACTACTACTACTACTACTACTACTACTACTACTACTACTACTACTACTACTACTATACTACTACTACCACCACCACTACTACTACTACTACTACTACTACTACTACTACTACTACTACTGCTACTACTACGGCTACTACGACTACTACTACTACTACTAGTACGAGTACGACCACTGCTACTAATACGACTAGTAGTACTACGACTACTACGACCAATACTACTACTACTACCACTACTACTACTACTACTACTACTACTTCTACTACTACTACGACTACTCATACTACTACTACTACTACTACTACTTTTATACTACGATCACGACTACTACTATCACTACTACTACTACTACTACTGCTATTACTACTACTACTACTACTACGACTACTACTACTACCATCACTACTACCATTACT